ATATGGGTCTCATCAAGATGAAACGTCGTGGAACCAAGCAGGAAGTTACTAAAGGCACTAGCAAATGTGCAGAATGCCCCGAAGCCTAACAGCGCTTTACCGTACTCAAACAAATTAAATGAAAACGTCTTTGCTTACCTTTTGGAACCACAGCTTCTCGTTGCTCCATCGATTGGTGATAGTTCCATCAGCATATGACAGATTACTGTAGTGTACCGATGAAATACCGTACTGATTATCTTCGACCACTGAGTTGTAGAGGTGTACAAATCGATCGAGGTATTCTTGAGCTGAAAATGGGTAATACTGAGAGATTGTGAAGAAATAGTTTAGGTAGTCGAGGGAAGAGAACAATATGTACATAGAACGATAGAGCGCAGAGGGACTGAGACTCCTCCAGGTAAGGGCAGCACATTCCAAGGCCTCTGAGACTCATGCTTCTACAGGAGGTCAATTTTGTAATAAAAACCAGCGGCTCGAACTGCGTTCATCAGAACGCCCAGCGTGAGAATCTCAGTTTGAAGCCTGCTAATAAGTTAAAGAAGTTATAGAGGTACAACGATTAATATAAGAATCGATGCCCTTAGGGAAAGGTAGTGTAGACCGCAAAGTACACTCTGGTTGGTACAACTTACGCTTTAGAAAGTTGTAAGGTACGATTGAGGCGCAGGGTTGCTCTAGCGACTCCGCCCTTGCTGTTGTCTGTCGTCTTACTGGTCTGCATGCTTTCTCCCTCGCTCTCGCTTGTCTGGTCTCTCGGCCCTGATTCTAACAAACCCGTTCCTCGTTGGAATGAGGAGAGCTTTATTTGGGAAACTCCAGCGGTTTTCTCTTATATCCTCTTCACGAGTAAATCAACTGGCACGTACACTTCTGTTGTTCAATCCTGACACATACGACTTTCACTAACTTCTTACAAAGTGAGCCTTCGAATTTTTTGCTTCATCTGCACCGGTGGAATTTGAACAGGCAAGGACCTTGTGTTAGGCGTCTAGAGTTTTCGGCAGCTGCAGGAGTCGTAGTTGCGGACTATCCAACGCGCATAACAGCTGTTACAGAAAAACCCCCTTTTATGCTGCAACCACATATACTCGAAATCCCTGAGATCGGGTAGGCGGAGCATTCGAACACTGTAAGGAACTGGTTACTAGTGGAATATTCCAGTCTGGGACAACTGTCATCTTGTTCTGTATTGGACAGAGACACGACAACGATTGTGTCGAGATGAAAATATCGCATCAGAAGCGTAGACGCCTTAAGGGTAAGTTGAAACATGCGGCCACGCCTACCCGATCTCAGGGATCTCGAATGTGTCTATGAGGTTCGGAATTCGGTGCCGGTCGCCTCCAATATTAGCACGCGGCCTGTACAGTACATGCGTTACAGACCTAGTATTGGGGCAGAGTCACAAGGCCCGCGTCGCATACGCTGCAAACGCTAGTACAGCAGCATACCTTCGCATCAACTACGCCTGGTTTGGTCCTTTCCACTCTCCCTAGTGTTTCGGGCATGGGAACCGATACCAGTGGTTGAGTGGTACAGCAGGCAGATCACCGATCGGGCTCACCCATCCAGGACGTTGCAGTGCCAGAGGGTGGTTGAAGGGTTCTGGCACAGAATTCATACCTTGTGTAGCCACTATTAGGGTACTTTCTGCCGCCGATGAGTACTAGGGAGAACACGCCGTCTATCCCCTCCCATTGGAACCTTCCCAGCGTCTGTCGAGGAGGAACGCCGTCTATCCCCTCCCATTGGAACCTTCCCAGCGTCCGTCGAGGAGGAAAACCATTTATGAAAAAAATTTCTTGGACGAAATACGCCCCCCCCCCATCCTCTCCTTCCAGCGACCGAAGACGACCCCACCGCCTGGAGATTTCCCAGCGTAGGACGTACCCTCCCATTATCACTGAGCCAATGGGTGTCAGCAGCGCATGGGATGTGGTGCTGCGCCAGATTTTTTCCACCGATCGTTGCGGGCTTCGGGCATTCTACGGAAGGTGAGAAAAGGACTGAAGTCGCGCCAAACCCCAAGCGCTGCTAACACGCCCCACTGACCTCAGCGGTAGCCAGTGTCGAACACTGGACCCTCAATGGTTCGATCACAGTACATTCATTCTTACACTGTTAAGTTGGGGATGGGGAGGAGCATTTTGGGAACTCGTTGCGCAGAACTAAGATTCCTCGTTTTATTTTCATATGATCAATGGAAACTTTCGCCCGGGCTTGAAGGAAGAGAAGATCCGCGATGGACCATTTTGAAGGTCAGTGCCTCAGTATGAATCACGGGAACCCTACTTCCGCTCAGAGTCTTTTAAACGTTTTGAAGTGCCGGACACCGTTTTCTAACTTCTGTCTAGTGGTTCTGCAGAATGTCAACGTATTTTTTCAGGCTAGTTTTCCTCTGCTGATCTGATGCTTTTTGATGCTCCGGATTCAGGTCCTCTTTTTCACAGCTTTGCTACTCCCTGTGGGACACTTGATGACAACAAAACCGAAACTGTTTCTCCATCGTCACAACTTTTGGTTCTTATTTCGAATTTTGTGGACAGTGGTAATTTTGCATATTCCTTTAATCAAGCTAGATATGAATGAAACTTCTTCAGCTTAACCCGACGCCGAGCCAATACTTACCATCGAGGAAGAGCACAAGAACGATTAGTTTCGGAGTACCGTAGGATCGAGTATACTGCATGGTAACATTGGAATTGAAGACAACAGGGAACTAAAAAAGGTTTTTTTTACAGGAAACGCAAACAGAAAAGAAAATAGAGAAGTACAAAATAGATGGAAACCTGAACGGAGTTGCTCCTGGCACTAAATGATTTCGCGCTTCCCCGGTCGAAGAACACAGCATCTTCGTCCGAAATGTTCGACACGGGATTGACGATCTGAATGCCTGCCGTCGTATTAAGGCAGTTGGCACGATAAATCCCCAAGACGACTAGGATCAATACTCCTGGCAGGATAGAATTCCGCGACCCTGGGCAGGCGCTGCATAGCGGTTTCCCCGAGGAAGGTGCCCTTATAAGGGCCCTATCAAGCCACAACTTTACGTCCCAAACGCCCGCCACGCCCGCCCGCCCACAAATGGACGACCGTTCCTGACGCTCGTATTCATTCATTTGCTAAGCAAATTATGAAGCGAAGGGATTGGTATGAAGCGGCCGTGATGCTGCATGCATACATGGTACACATATGCAGCCGTATCTTCGGTAGCGGTGATTGGTAAGATGCCTACGGGAAACTCGTCCGAAATCGATTTTCAAGTCACTGAGAACGGAGGCTTTTCTTCGCAGGATTTTGACCGTTTCACTCCGTTCTTTCGCCATTTCCCCCACTATACAGCGCCCTACTAGCATTTTAGGCTAGCAGGTCGCTGTATAATGGGGAAAAGGCAACCATCGTGCCAACTGCCTTTAAGCCTGTGAATGAAACTGTGGTCGGGAAAAATAAAAAAAAAAAAAATAAAAATACAAAAAAAAAAAAAAAAAAAAAAAAAAAAAAAAAAGCTTCAATATAGATAAATGGATAGTGCTCATCAGGTAACAAAAACAAAAAGTTTTGAAGGTATAATATTCACTAGCCCGGTAATAGTTGAGAGCTTTCAGAACCGAAGCTATACTGGCCCAGAATGATTGGGCAGCGTTTCGGACTTCGCAATGACGCGCGTCATCGCGAAAAAACTGAATGCTGCCTCAGATAAACCCACCTGAATGGCCATTCTTGCCGGAAGTCCATATCCGAAACCGCTGGCCTCCAGGTTCATCTCGAAGATGCAGCGCTCCAACGGAACTGAAACTTGGTCCGTTTTCTGAAGCAACGATCACGAGAAAATGATTGTCAGGCTCACCAGCTGGACATTCTGGTGTCTCCTTCGCTACGAGGAACTTTCTTTGATTTAGATGACTCTCAAGTACCTGAATGAGATGAGAATATAATGAAAAGCGGCTTGTAGCGGCTAGTTGGGAAGAATGACAGTGACGTTTTGATCGCGACGCTTATTCAGATCCTGAGACGTAGGGGTCTACAACTAAGACTCAATCCGCTTAATGCTGTCAATTTTCTGTTTTTCTCTGCGCTCTCACGTCTGCAAGGGCGTTCTGTGACCGCTCTGACCTTTCACATTCCAACTTTTCACGCATAATAAGTGGCTCATCCACCCCGGTGTCCTCTCCCTTTGAAAAAAATCATCTCCTGGCTCGCGACATGTTCTTTGTACCCCTCGATGCCTTGGCGGCCGGTTTTTCAGTTTTTCATTTCTCTGCGCTTTAGCCTTTCGCAGCGGGAAGGAGGACTCCTTCAGGGGTTTCAATGGTCACGCAACCGCGAGAAGCTCTTTGGGATGCGCCGCACGGTCAAGCTCCCGAATCGCAGTGACATCCTTGGTGCGACCTG